GCATCTTCAGTGACACCTTCTGTGCTAATTCCTCCACAGGACAAGTTGGAGCTCTTGCACGGCTTAGAATCTCGTGCAAATGTAGAACAACGGAAGCTGAAGGAGTGTCTGGAAGCAGCAGAGAACAGGGCGAGCCGCCTAGAGCTCTCCCAGCGTACCCTTGAAGGTGAGCTACAAAGGGCCCAGCTCAGGGCAGCAGAGCTGGATGCAGAAGCAGGGGCACTGCAGGAAAGACTGACAGAGCTGAGGCGGAAGCTAGGTGAGAGCGAGGACCGGTGTGCAGCGCTGAGGGTCAACGAGGAGAGGTTGGCCACGTCACTGGCTCGAGCTGAGCAGCACGAGAGCCAGCTGAGAGAGCAGATCCACAAGTTGTCAAACACCCTCAGTGACAACAGGAGCAGCAGTGGAGCCCTGCAGGAGCAGGTCACACAGTTGCAGAGGGCTCTGACTGCAAGTGAGCAGGACCGAAGGCTGCTGCAGGTACAGTGTATCACCTCATGATCCACAAGACAAAACATTTACTCATTTCTGGAACATAAAACAAATCATATGCACTGTGAATTTTTCATTTATAAGCTTCTCTCCTTATCCAACACAAGAATATTTGATTGAAACTTCAAAATAAAACAAATAGCCACACTTCCATCGCTGTGCTTTGATTTACAGTGCAGTTATGTAACCTTCTCAGCTCCAGACTGAGCATTTTTTATTTACATTTGCTGCTGTGGTTTTCCTGAAGGACCTCAAAGACTAAGCAATAAAATGCTCAGGCAAGCTCATTAATTCTCCAAAGAGCTTCTCAGGAGAACTTTCCGGTCTTAGTTTGGGACTGCACTTTAAAGATACTGAGCAAACAAAAACATGACATGCTCGGTATAAATCTCTTGATTTGCTCAAAAGCTGTCAGGTCATTGCAGTAAAAAGCGAGAGAAAAAAACAGACTCTTGCCTGCAACTTTCAACAGTACGTCAAGAACCGTAAAATAGACAGGATATAAAGGGAGGTGAGAAATACAGGGTCAGCGTAAGTGCAAAATCGTGTTTTAATAAAGCTGGGTGGCTCATTGTATACTATCAACATGTGTGTGCGACCATAGGAGCGTCTGGATAAAACACGAGATGCCCTTTCAGAGAGTAAGAGGCTGAATCACAAACTTACAGAGCAGATCCAGAACCTTCAAAGGGCCCAAGAGGACTTAGAGCTTAAAGATTCTGAGCTGGAGAAACATAACAGGACACTGAAGGAGGTGAGTCACACTGAGGTTAAAGGTCAAATAAAGGTGCAAAGGTTGAGACACCATTCTGATGTGTGAATGATTGGCTGTCTCCCAGAGCCTGAGGCAACAGCAGGAAGCTGAACTGCAGGCCCAGGGGAGTTCCCAGCAGCTGCAGCGAGAGAAGGAGGAACTCCAGGACAAGGTCACCAATCTTCAGACCTCTTTGCATAAGCTACAGAGTGAGAGAGCAGAGATGGAGAGGGTGCTGACACGCCTTGGTAAAGACAAGTCAGCACTCAGAAGGACACTGGAAAAGGTGAGCTGACCTGTGTGCTGCACCAGATTTTATGGAATAGTTTGACATATTGCAGTTTATTCTCTTTCTTTCCGAGAGTTATATGAGAAGATCGATACCACCCTCAGGTCTGTATGGTTAATATAAAGCTACTGCCAGCAGCACGTTATCTTAGCTTAGCATAAAGACTGGAAACAGAAGGAAACAGCTAACATATTTCCCAAAATATTAAACTTCTTCCTTTATCCTTAATCTTTAGGATTGGATCAACTAAACCTGTCTTGTTTTGTTGGAACTCTTAATCACAGTTACAAATACAAACAGATAACTATAAAATACAAATGATGTAAAACAAAATCACAATTTTTATTATTAAAGAATTGCTGCAGTGTTCTAATGGTACTTTATATCAGACCATGTATAAGTAAAAGTAAGAAGAACAGAGTTTTATAAAAAACAATGATGTAACAGCTGCTCTGCTACTGTCGATGAGAAGCAGCTTCATAATGTTACAGCTAGAACAGTGAAGGCACAAGCCCCCCTTTGTTGGACCCCAGAACATTAAACAGCTTTTGGTCAGAAGACCTGAAAAGTCTTGGTGCTGAATATGAGGTAAAAGATTTGAAATATATAAGGGAGCCAAACCACAAAGGGCTTTAAAATGTAATTAAAAGCGTCTTAAAGTCAATTCTAAAACTGCTGGAAGCCCATGTACATATAGAAGCCAGGACTGAAGTAATACACGTTTAGTGTTGGTCAGAAGCCTTGCTGCCACATTCTGGACCGAGTGAAGATGTGAAATTGCCGAAGCATTAGGGCTCATAAATGTTGCAGTCACATTAATCCATGCAGGAGGAGATGATTTGAATAATTTGCTGCTTCATTATGCTGTAGTTTGTCCTTTGCATCATATTGTTTGTTCCATTTTCCACTTATTCATCTCCTTTGTCACACATTGTACAAAGCGATCTTGAGATGATGAAAACATGTAGGTGGACTGTGAGAACTGAGAGGCTCTGTGCCTGGCTTCTGCTACACGCATTACAGGAAGGCACAAGAGTGCAGAACAATCATGGTAAAGTCGTTCACATTATGTCACCCTCGTGTTGTCGGTGTCAGGTGGAGATGGAGAGGCTGAGGAGGGAGGAGGAGGCGGCGGCAGCAGCCAGAGAGAAGGAGCAGTTGGAGCAGGCAGTCCACAGCCTGGAGCAGGAGCTGGCTGAAAAGCAGGACGAGGTTCAGGCTGTGCAGGTGAGAGGCTGCTGGATGAGAGCCAGGGATGGAACAGGGGTCACACTGCAGCGACAGGGCTATTCTTTGCCAAGTTATGCCAGTCAAAACCATCAGTGTGTCAAAAGTTTCAGATCGCTGTGAATGCAAATAGCTCCACATCAGATATCGTAAAGTCATTCAGCAAATGCACACAGGAAGCTAAAAAATGACAGCCAGTCCCTCCCCTCTTTGTAAGCACTGATATGTCTCATTTAAACAGCCATAGCATCAGTCATTTTTCTCAAAGGGAAGATGCTACTGTTAGAAAGTCATTTCATTTTAGAGAACTAAGAGCCCCTGTGAGCCAGGGGTCATTACCCTGGTTATAGCAACAGAATCCTGACCTTCTATTTTACTTACAGTCTATCTTCCATTATATAAACTCATGTGAACTGTCTTCAGGCCCAAATCTACCAGTTAGAGCACTCTCATGCACAGCGCCTCCTGGAGGTGACAGCCCACCATCACCAGGAGTTGGATTTAGAGACGGATCGTCTGAGAGACAGTCAGCTCCAAGTAGAGCGGGCTTTGGAGACCAGGGAGAAGGCCCATCGCCAGAGGGTCAAATGCCTGGAGGAACAGGTATTTTGATTTAAAATGTGGATCATTTGTTTGGAAAGTCTTTCTTTTACACTACAGGTATATTTCTGTGTTTTTGTGTGTGTCTACCTACCTTCTGATCTTTCTGTTTCTTTATTTTTCCCAGTTGCTGACTCTGAAAGAGCAGCTAGATCAGGAGACAAGACGACGACAAGCCTATTTCAATCAGATGCTACAACCTGGTGTCTAGGTAGAGACCCTGCAGTGACGTATGTAGCACCTCTGGGTTCCTCTGGCTGCTTCCCAACAACATTATACAGGCTACGTCCACATATGGAAGCGCACACAAACACACTCCTTAGGCGTTTGCTCCCACCCATGCACATGTGCACACCGGATTACATTAATCTGCAGGAAAACTCAACAACAACAAACAATGAGTGTTTTGTTTATGAGTGGACTGGATGTGCCAAATTGTTTTAAGGATTTCCTCTGGCTCGCTACAGTCTGTTTATGCTGTGTCATTTTTTCTAGGAAACAATGTGATGAAGGTTTTCTTAGTTGGTGCTTTATTCTACTCTTATGATTGTTCGTATACTCATTTGTCATATTGATTATCATGTACTAGTCTTATATGTCCTAATCACTGTTTGTATATCTTAATGGGAATAATAGCCAAATATTTACAATAACTGTTTGCAGATGTTCCTGGTGCTGTGATTTATTTGTGTTTCAGGTCATGTCATAAAGATTCTATAGTGTTAACTCATTTATTTTATTGTGTGTTGTATTTGCCTCAATCAATAGTTGTGTGTGCAAAAGATTGTTTTTAATAAACTGGGTGTGTCAGAGCATGATTCAACAATTTTGTTTTACAAAAGATTATTTGATAAGGATGTTTATTCTTCTGACCACACAACTTTGTTATGGAAAACGTTTTCTGTGAACTTTGCGAAGGACAGCGCTGCCCTTTCATGGCATGCGAGTTCTGGCGTTCGCACCATTAAAAGCCTTTGTGGATTTAGTGTTGTGGGTGAGAGAATGACCTTCGCTCTCTGTTGCCAGTGCTGTCTTCAGTGTTTTCTCTCAAAGATCGTTGCAGACTCCAAGGTCTGTGGGGATCGTCATTCCTTGAGAGTTTCACTGGCAAACCTTCTGTAATCCTTCACAACCCTAAAGTCTTGAGCTAATATGTGCTCTTCCCTTTGCTGATTAGAAACCACAAATATGTTGTGTTCACCATGTGTTTGTGTGTTTTCATCCACACATGCATCTGCTTTGTGTGTGAGTATCTTAAATGCCAGTAACTCATTTATTTTCATTTCATTTCCATACTAACTGCACAGTGTTGCATTTTCACAACAGTACACACGCATGTCTTCTCACTTTGTAACCTTGCATGCTTGGTAGCTGTACATAGTAGGAATTTCACTGAAAGGGGAAAATCTTGTCAGAGTTTCTTTAAAGCAGCCCTTTGATTATCATAGACCCGCCCAGTGGTTATCCAGTTACCGGCCTCTTTTCAGCTATTGGCTGGAAGGAGCTAATTATGCAAGGTAGTGAATCCCTGTGGGGGAGGTGGGGCCAAAACTGAAAGAACTCCTTTGGCAGGCAGAATAGAGCTTTTATTGAGGATATTTCTAAGCTGACCATCAGGGACCAAATCGCTGGATTGTTCAAAAAAAAAAATCTCAGCTGAATCACGCTGCTCCCCCTCTTTCATTCCTTCCCTCGTTTCATTTCAGTGAGACGCAGTGTAGCTCATGCAGTACCCAGCAGCAAGCAGAATGCAAGGAATCTACAGTATTCCCCTGTCTCACACAAGAAGCCCAGTTCACTACTAAAGGACAAGTGAGGAGAGAGAGAGGCAGAGCCAGGGAGCAGTCAGGGGAGGATTCAGACTGCTGTGGTTGAGAGGAGGAACGTACGCTCTTGTCCTGTTCTGCTCTGCTCTGCTCTGCTCTTGTTGCCTCAGGTGTGCGTGCTCCTCCCTCCCCTCCGCGGTGCCTGCTGTCATCTCCATCCCTGGGTGGCTGAGGCCATGGTGTTGGTGCTGCGAGCCCTGCTGCCCTGCTTCTGCACCCTGCTGTCCCTGGACCTGCTGCCTGGGGTGGAACCCGCTGTGCCCCTGGAGGACTTCTACCCCTTTGGCCAGGACAAGGGGGACTCCCAGACCATCGCTCAGGACGACGGAGGCTCCAGGCTTGTGGAGATCTCTGTTGCTTTCCCCTTCTTTGGAGACAAGCACACGGGACTCTATGTGAGTACAGAGCAGTGTTTCTTTACTGATGTGTGTGTTTATGTCTTTATAAGTCAGCGTGTATGTGTGTGTGCATGCACTTGGCAGTTGGCAATTGAAACTGACTTGGTGTGGATTGTATAAGAGCCTCCGGGAGATGAGATCTGGCACTCAGCCAAATACTACATTGCAGTGCCCTTTGAGAGTTTGTATATGTTTGTGTGCGCTCACAAGCTCTGGTGTGTAACCTCATTTGTAGAATATCGTGTTTTCCCCCCACGGGTGGAATCACAATCTTCCATGACATTCTCTTCACTTTACATCTGCCCTCCTCGCACTCTGAGGGCTCTCAAGTGCACCGAGGGAGAGTGAGGGAGAAACTATTAGCATGAACAGTGGTAAGCCCTGTTCTAATAAGTCTACAATGAGCTGTTAAAGGAAATGACAGTTTGTGTTCTTACTGTTGCCGCAGAGCATCTGTGAGCAGTTCTTTTTTTTTCAAGGAGAGCAGGGGGAAAATATGCAAGCCGGAGAGAAAGAGAGAGAGAGAGAGAGACGGAGAAACAGTGCTCATGGGAGGAAGCAGAATGGTTTGACAAGGATTTTCGCGCACCACAGTGAAACACACTTTGATCTGCCTTTGTCATGTATTGGGTTCAGCTCCAGCGCATGGAAAGGCAGAACTCCCTTAAATCAACACCACCTGTTGCGGTTATGCATCCGCGTTCGCTCTCCGAAATCCCCTCCTCCTCCGCACCCCTCGCCCCGCCTGCCTCCTCCCTGTTCAAACCATGGGCAGGGGAGGCTGAGGAACCATGGCAACAATGGGCAAGGTCAAAGGTCATCTTTCTAATCTAAGCATCTGCGCCAACAGGGTGAGGTCAGTCTCCCAATGAAGATATTTTAAAAACTTCTTTCCATGTACACATGGCACACAGACAGTGGCACAGTATTTTGAAGTGCAGTGTTTGGGGGTTGTGTTCTAAACACACTGGTCTGGAGCTTCTGTGTATGACAATTGCTGTCACATTGTAGTTATGCAATGAATTCCAGCACATCACCTCTCCTGTAATAATACTGATAGTCAAATTAGACAAGATAAGACAAGTTTCTGGATGCTTGGCTTGTTCATCTTAGGCAGAATTATCCTCTGGTAGAGATAAGAATCTGAGTACTCCACATAATGAAATGTTCTGTGTTAGTTGTGATGTGCATCTCATTGGACTCTAGTCACGCAAGGCATAACACTTGTAATTGCAGTCAGGCTCATTTCGAATGCCTCACCTGAATCTATTAAACATCTGCCATAAAGCACACGGGCCACATGGTGATCTCTGCCACCAGAGAGCTGCTTTGAACAGTTAATATTTCAGTGAGCACTAAGGGGCTAAGTTTGTAGGAGTAGTTTATTCCAGGGGGTTGTTCCATGCCAGTGGGCTACCACATAGAAGCTGATTCTGTTTAACAGAGCACACACCTTGAAACCCTTCACAGCAGATCCGGTTAAACCCTCAGCTATCCGTCCCATCCTGAAGCAAAATCTTATTTTTAGTGATCAACAAATACAGCAGTGCATTTAAATGTCATGTGACTTACAGAGGTCTCTGATGACCTATCAATAGACCCTACCAATCCCTTTAAAAACATGGGTCCCCCATGACTTGTTCCTGCTTTAGTCCCACTTCTGCCTCCTGGTAACCAGGCTGTCCCTCTGTTATGGTTTGTGTCTGGGAGTTTTCACACGTTGCTGGGATCTCTCTTTCCTCCTCCTCCTCCTCCAGGTCCCCCCCTTCCCTCCTCCCACGCCTTAGATAACATGGCAGGGGTCTTCCCCCTGGAACTCTCCAGCTGCTTTATCTGAGAAATTACCAATCACTTTAACAGAACACAGATGTATCTGCAAAGCGTCTTAGGGCCTTCCAAACAATGCAGTTCACGGATTAACTACTCTTACGGATGGCCAGTGCAAAGAACATGAAGGAGGATGTCCAAGGTCAAAGAGGACAGAACGCAAGTTTAAAAGCAGATGTGAGAATAGATGGTTATGATCAAAGGCATTTATTGTAGATACATAAACTCATGTACAGTGGAAAGACTATGTTTATGTAGTGAAATGTGTACATTTATAGTATTCAAATGTACAATATAATGTTGCTTTTGTCTGTGATTAGAAAATAAACTACATTTAAACAAAATTCGAATACATTTTGAAAGGATGCTGCCAAGAACGTGCTATAGTGTAACTGCACTCTTTACAGATTGCACATCTGCTAGTGCTCATCTGCTCCTCTGAAGAGCTTCAGCACTTGGAGTTTTTGCAATTTCATCCGCTCACTTTCACTCACCGCTATGTATGGCCCAAAGATGTGTGCATTAAGTTTTATTCTTTGTACTCTGCATGGGTGCTTTTTACATGCGTGTGTGGGATGAGAGACATGACTGAGCGATGGCAAGAACCGTTCATCCAACACGGACATGCTATACTGTATCTGCACATACTTTAAAAAGCCTTAAAATCATAAAGTAAATGATGGACTTTAAAGGAACAGTTGAACATTTTGGGAAATACTCTTATTTGCTTTCTTGCGGAGACTTCTACCACTCTCATGTCTGTCCATTAAATATGAAGCTACAGCCAGGAGACGTTAGTTTAGCTAAGCGTAAACGCTGGGAGCTTGTTTATGTAAAAACAACAAGTTGTGGTTTTTATGGGGGGGTTATGTACCAGACTATTTCTTGGCCGTGCACAGTGACTTCCTGGAGTCTCCGCTGGTCGCCTGTTAAGCTCACAGTGATGACAGGACTCCAGGAAGTCACCGCACCCAGCCAGGAAATAGTCTGGTACATCTTCTCATCTAACTCTTGACAAGAAAGTAGAAAAGTGTATATACCAAAACGTTTTATTAAGATTTTAAGCCTAAAACTTTATTTAAATGTATTCAAATACAATCTTTAGAGGTCACATTTTGGTTTACTATGCTGTTATACATGATTGTGCAGCCTGTACACGTACGTTGTCTTTTCATTTCCACTTCATGCCCTTTACAATAAACTTCCCGCCTATCTTCCTTTATTACGGCCTTTCCTAGTTTCAGGCTTTTCATCAGTACCAGTATACGCTATTTTAAACTGGAAGTAGGCTATTTTAAACTGATAACAAATTTTAGTTCTTAAAATTCAACTTTCATAAGTTACTTGATGGTTCATGAAAGTATTTTGAAGATCCTCTGTAATTCTAAACCATGTGATTTGCAAATTAAAATGTTTGTTGAATAAATGTTCCTACACTATACAGACCATTTAAACAGTGCAGTCATATCTTATTGCACAAAACCTCCACATCATTTGGACTGTGAAAGTTGAATGAAGAGTGCGTCCACACTGTTCCAGACGGGATTTATTGTCTCAATCTAAACTCTTTGGAGATAAAGGTGAGCCGGGGCTTAGGAGACAGGCCAAGTGCACAGACTGTTAGACTTTAGTCACTTCCTTCGGTCTCGTCAAATAATTGGACAAGCTTGTAGCTGTGAAACCTCCGTTTTTGACAAGGAAAACGAAGGTTTTCCTGAGTTGATCCATGGGCACCTTTTTCATCCAGGGGTTTGCTTTGGCTTGACTTAAGCCAGATGAAAGTTTATTTTAGTCCATAAATTGCTTGGCTCTAAAGAAAACCACCCAAGCAAAATCCTGGATATATCCGGCAGAGAATTCCCAAAAAATAACAAGGGAGTTGTAGAGTGGAGTGGCACCATTGAGAGTGAGAGAAAGAAATATGGGGAGAGAGATGTTTCTTACAAGGTTGACTGATCGCACCTCTCTCCCCTGTGATTCTGACCTTGGTCATGTTACAGCATAACATAAGGCAGCTCTGAACCCATTCACTCTCTCACATAAGTGTGATGCATAACCACCCTTCACTGGATCTCTGTAGTAGTTACGACCTGGTTGAAATCCATGAGAAGAAGGGAAGTATGTGATATGCAGCAAAGAAAAAAGTCCCAAGTTCAGTTTAAATTCCTCTAAGGTCATTGCCATGTCAAAGTGGTCCCCTAAAAAATCTTAACAAGTAAGAAATACACTTGTTTAAACAGTTCCAGATGCTACAAGAGATTGGATTAGGCGATTAAACATATTCCAGTATTCAAGCATAAACTCTATTTAGTGTTCAGCATGATTTCCTACACTAATTTTGCTGTAAGATGGGTGACTTCCAGACCGCTGCCACCACAGGTCTCTCATTAGTGGGTATGTGGGTGTGGGAGGTTTGTAATTCATGTACATCCCTCCATTCATCCATCCTGGTGCCCTCTCTCTTGTTATTCTCCCGGTATCAGATGGCGCTCTGGCTGACCCCTGGGCCCTGCCCCTGCAGTCGGTCCTCTTTTTCCCCACATCAGCCACGTTCTCACCACATCACGCTGATGCAGAGGGGAAGACTGTGGTCGGGCAATTAACTTAGCCCTGTGCTGTGCCAAACAAAACTTCCTCTGCTGTTTTTACAGCAAAGTCCTTCAAATTATGGTTTTCATACATGCAGGGAGCAAAGCCGAGCCGTCTGACGTTGCTTTGTCACTGTCACATGCCACTTGGCTTGAATGCAGAGAGGCAAAGTTCATGCCAGCCATTAGAGGAAACAGGATAGGTGCCATGGTGGGAAGAATCTCCCCTTGTTGATAATATGCAGAAATGATGTATGAATGAATGAAGGCCTTTCATGGGGATTCAATCCTTCAGCCTGTAGAACTTTCCTCTCCACTCAGGTTTAGCAGCCTGTTTCTTCTCAAAATTTAGTGCAGTGGCTGGTCACACACCACCTCATGTTTGTGACTGAAGGACTTAACACTGCTAAATGTTTTTTTATAATCCATCACTGACCATTTCCCAAGTGCTATTGTAGAATCTATCACAGAAATCTCTTGTAGTAGCATTTCAATTCTTTCCCTGCACAACTTTCTTCCGTTATAATAAGCTCCAGTCCGCATTGAAACATCCCTCATTTACTTCCTGTACACCTGATATCAATAATCTGTTCCTTTTCCTGCACCTCCAGTACCTCTTTCATCTGGCACCAGGGCAGGAAAACCTTCGAGCAAAACATGAACATTTGTCACATTTACCGTCTTGGTTCTGTGGCTCTCAGTTTGTAGTCCTTACTGTTGCTCTGTTGCACTTTTGTAACACAATTTCAAAATTGCGCAATATTTTGAGATTAACAATTGATCAAATTTCTTTAATAAATAATAATAAATATAAAATCTAAATAATGACTGTAACATCACTGTTTTTGGTTCAGTCTGAACACTTTTATCAACCTTGTTTCCAGCAGCAGGCAAAAAAGCTCTGATTACTGATGTGTTGTACACATTGGGCACCAAACGACAAAAAGGTTAGCAACTAGCTGCTGAACACAGCTGCTATAGAGTTAGATATTTCCCCCTGAAGTTGTTGGAGACCAAAGCAAAGCTAAATGGAGACTCAAAATTGGGCTTACATTTGCCTGCTGGATGTGTAAATAGGGAATATGCATTGCTAATATGTGAGCCATATAACTTTATAAGGTGGTCATATGTCAGTGTTGTGTTTACAGCTTGCCGCGGTGTTGACTGTACTTTTCTCACCAATAAGATATGTGGTTGAGGGGAGAACGGATTCATTTATTTGGTTGCTTTGCTGTTGGCAGACATCTGTGGATTTAAAAGGCCGTGAACGTCCTTCCTGGTGTGATGACTTTGCAGGTGCGTGAGCAGCAGAAACCTGGTTTTCTCAGCTGCTGTCATTTCACGGAATAAAGTTAGCGTCTGTTTGCTACATGAGAAGTGCAAACATCCGTTATGGGAGCGTCCGCTGCCCCATGCTGCTGTTTTTTCCCCGTGAGGTCAGACTTCTCCTTAGCACTTCCACTCTAACCCCGCCTTATCCTTCAAACAAGTCACAGTGGCTTCATCTGACATGTTTAACTAAATATATACTCCATCTCTCTCGTCCTCAGGTTAACAACAATGGCCTGGTGTCTTTCCTGAGGGAGGTGTCACAGTTCACACCTGTGGCTTTTCCAATCGCTGGGGACAGAAGGGTTGTGGCACCGTTCTGGGCTGATGTGGACAACCGCCGAGCAGGGAAAGTCTTCTACAGAGAGAGCCAGGAGCCCTCCATCCTGAGGAGGGCCTCAGGTGATGTCAGGACGTACTTTTCAGAGTTCCCCAACTTCAATGCAACATGGGTCCTCATCTCTACATGGCTTCAAGTTACTTTCTTTGGAGGCAACTCCCTCACACCGGTACAAACTCATACTGTACAGCTCTCTCATTATCATGTAGTTACTGCTTTAACAGCTCTGATTCTTTATGTACTGTAGGATTGAAGCATATTATGGCCTACATCAGTGATTCCCAACCAGGGAAAAGGCAAAATTCTGATTTGATGTCCATATAGTTGTGTTTCAGAAGAAAGAACAGTCCAAATAAAATCGTCCAAATTGTTGTTGATGCTGATCTTTAGAAAATGTATTGTGCATGGAAACTAATTAGCAAGCTAGAAGAGTAGTAAGCTAAATGTAATATAAATACTGGTTGGTTGGTTTAAAGTGATAGCTAAACTAGGATTATTAGCCAAATGTAAACAATTTTTAAAAATCACCTTAAAATGAATAGATAAACAGGGAAATTACTTAGCTAAAAGTAATGAATAAATTGCTGAAAGATCCAGCTTCTGCTTTCCCTAAAATGTTAGTAGTGAGAGCTTTTATTAAAAGAAATTACACTTTTTGTAATGTTACTTAAGGGTCCAGTGTGTAAGATTTATGGGGACCTATTGGCAGAAATGGAATATAATATTCACAAGTTTTCATTAGAGTATAATCACCTAAAAATGAGAATCGCTTTGTTTTTGTTACGTGGTTCCTCTTCTATGGAGTCTGCCATGTTTCTACATTAGCCCAGAACAAACAAACTTATCACTGGCTCTAGATAGGGCTTTTCACATTTTTTGTGAGTTTTGCAGCCATCATAGGTTCTACTACACATTTGGAAAGTGAACTGTATTCAGTTGGTTGCAATCTGCAACTTCACCACTAGATGCCACTGAATCCTACTCACCGATAATCCTTTAACATCCACTTTAAAATCAACTGAAATTAACACATTTGGAACATGATGGGTGTGTTACTTCATCCTCCTCAGGGAGAAACTACTGGGAACCACTGGCCTAAATTAGCCTTGTTGTTACTTAAAACTGGGATATATGTGGTCAGAAAGCACAGCTATTGGGTTTCATTCTAATGGTTATTGTGAATTTCTTGCTATCTGCCTCAACAGCAGGCCTGGAGGAGTCTATTATGTCTCTAGTCTGACTGAGATTTAGGAATCTGTACCATTAAAATGAGGAGTCTGTCAGATGCATGCATTATTACCAGATTTCGTGGAAATCAGGAAATGGTTTAACCGAGCCTGTTCCTCTCTGTGCAGGTAAATACTTTCCAAGTGGTGCTTATTACAGATGGAGAGCTTTCCTTCACTATATTCCAGTACAATAATATCACATGGACCACAGGCATGCATGCCAGCAGTGGAGGAAACCTGGCAGGGCTGGGTGGGATTGCAGCGCAGGTAAGATCACATGGTTATATGCTTATGGTGACGGTTCAAATTTGAAATGTACAGTGTAATCTGCTTCCTGTGAAGTTGCAAACGAAATTCGGCAAGTGCTAATTCAGCCTTCTTTTGTGATGTCTGGCTCCTTGTTACTCTCTTCCCAGGCAGGTTTCAATGCTGGCGATGGCAAGCGTTACTTCAACATCCCTGGCTCTCGCACGGCTGACGTGGTGAACGTTGAGGGAACCACCAACGTGGGCTACCCAGGCAGATGGGTCTTCCGTATAGATGATGCAAATGTGGAAGTGGGTGGCTGCAATAACTCTGGTAAGACCTAGGAGATTAGATCTCCTCCTGGCCATCTTAATACCTTTGCTTCTACAATTCCTGTTACATTGACCTCTCTCCGCAGCATCAGTGTGCCCACACCTGCGACCGTGTCTGAACGGAGGCCAGTGCATAGATGACTGCATTACAGGCAACCCCTCCTTCACTTGCTCCTGCTTGGCTGGCTTCACCGGCCGGCGATGCCAGATTGGTGAGTTATGGCCGACACTGCTTCCTGCTCTGTTGTGCTTGACATACACTGCACACCATGAATGAATACCTGTCTACCTGAGATCAGCCAGGAAAAATAATGTCAACCAGTAAAAAAAATACCAGGTTTCACCTAAGCTGCCAAAGGGTCACTGGGATATTTCCTTAATACCTGTATCAGCTTCATGCCAATCGGTTGCATTCTCCTCAGACATATCTTTAGTAACTGATCGTGGCCAGATGTTTTCTTCTAATTAAAAGAGTCACACTACCTCCTTTGTATTTCAACCTGTTTCCGTAGATGTCGATGAGTGCGCCTCATATCCTTGCCAGAACGGAGGGACTTGTGAAGACCAGATTAATAGTTTCATCTGTCATTGTCCTCCTGGATACACTGGGATGCAGTGTGAAACAGGTACAAAGGACACTTTGCTTCAAAGCTGCTTTATGCTGGAGTTATAATTATATAATTATATTTTTTATTTGAACTTTCTAGAATACTTTCTGTAGAATAAAAAAACATGTAAATATGCTTAACAATTTACATTCAAGTAACAAGTAACAGCATGTACAAAAAAAGCCACAATTTTACACAATACCAAAAAATTACCCCAAAACAAATTGATCTAAATAAAGAAATTTTTACTGTACATCAAAAAATCCACACTCTGCTCCTACCCTGCATGCTAAAATAGGCTGAAGACCAGGAAAAACTCAATTAATTAAAGCATTTTGTGCCTCATTAAGCAGTTTCCACACAAAAAAGTATTTTAGAATATCTTGGTCCCCCCCTCTTCTGGATCTTCTGTGCCTATTCCCACAGTCCAGCCTGTGGAGATGTATCAAACCTCTTCTAATACCTTTCACAGCCAGCAGCACATACTTGCAGAGTCAGGGGAGCAGTGTGGCGGATATATTAATCAGCTGAGTAAATATTCCATGAGCGTGTCTCTCTGTCCCTGTGTATATGTGTGTGTGTGTGTTACAGACATTGACGAGTGCAAAGACAGACCGTGCCACAACAACGCTTCGTGTGTACAAGGCGCTGGCAGTTTCACCTGCGTGTGTGAACTGGGTTACACTGGTGTCCTGTGTGAGACAGGTGAGCAGGGTTTTTCACACTCTGGGGGAAAAGTAGGCACTCCCTCCAGAGGAAATATTTTCTGCTGCTTTCTACATCAAACTCAGTCATTCTGGCAGATGTTTTTGTCCCAGTCTACCTAGACAAATGGGTCCAAGTTGCGGTTATGGTTGAATTCATTTGCAAACAACTCTTCTACTGTTTTTTTTTGTTTTTGCTTGTGTCAAACAATGTAGCAATGAACCACAGTGAGGAAGTTCACTGAAGTCAGGTCTGTCTCCAAAAAGACCTTTACTAATCTTGCTCCTCCTGTGATTGATTGTTGATGAAACCTGAATCCAATGGGGGAATTAAATTATCAGGCCCCGCACTGTTCATGAATCCTTGTATCTACATGAGACGGGATTACTCCTAATACCGGACACCTGCTCAATGAAACTCTACTCTTTTAGAAGGGAAGTTCAGTGCTGTTAATCCAGCTCAGTGTCTTAGAGGGCAACCTCTTAGCTTTCCATGTGAAGATTGAAAAATCTCTGAATCAGCAGCAGATAAACTATTATTCTTTTTTGTGCATCCTCCAGACATTAATGAATGCGAGTCGCAGCCCTGTCTAAATGGAGGAGAGTGCGTTGATCAGGTGGCCAACTTCACCTGTGTGTGTCCCGCTGCCTTCACTGGAACGCTCTGCGAGACAGGTGACCTGAGTTCAACTTGAATTCCTTCAGAAAAGCATGTTTGAAAAAATTGATCTTGATATAAAAATGTTGACATAGCCTAGTCCTACTTTTGCCTTTCTGTTTGGCTTCCTGTAATGTAGCATTTTTTCCAACTGGGACAAGCACAAAGGGAATCCTATCATACCTCTTTGAGAGGAAAACAATGTTTATGGCATTGAACTTTGTTTAAGGGAGCTGATTCTGTTGGAGCTCCAGGGTTTCATCATTAGTTAAGACTTTATAACGTCTCACAGATTTCTGTGCTCTGAAATCACTGCTATCATAATTTGTGACCCTAAATTCTGTGGAGACACCGTGTTTAATAACAGTTTAGTATGATAAAAAACATTTGCAATGGCAATACGGCTACAATTCCTAATCAGGTCACAAAATCTGATTGGAATGGTTATTTTATATTCCTAGTTTTTTTAAGGACTATGGCATATGCAAATTTCTTATGTCTGTTTGTCCATCGGCCTGGCTGCAATAAAGTATGTATCTGTTACTCTGCAAGTCTTGTTTGAAGGGTCAGATCACATAAATTACAAAATATACATATTGGCCAATATTCAGATTGTATTCATACATTTCATAAATGCATGACATAAACCAACACTTCTGATAAAAATCTCTTAAAACTGGCTATTAAAGAATTGCTTGTCAGTGCTCTTTGCTGGAAAACTATGTTATGTAATATGCACCAATACCAATACATCTGTGATAAGCTAATACTGGTGAATAATAATCACATTTCTCATATATTTCTCATATACTGTATCACATCTTTCTCACTTACGTCTCGTTAGTGGTATCTAGCCATGCACATAGTTTTGGGTTTATTTGCTCAGGTTTGGAGATATCTGTCAGTGAGATTACTGCTGCCGCCCCAATACAGTGGAGGTGAATGGAATAAAACAAAAACTATCTGCATTGCTAAATACCACCAGAGGTAAGTGAGGAAACATGTTTTGTTGGTATTTGGGTGAACCAAACCCTTTAAAGCACATTCTCTTCCTGTCTCAGAGTTGGTGGTGCTTCAGGACAATTCAACTGAGGCAGAAAACCAAACAGGTAAAAGCAAGTACAGCTACAGCAAAAGCTTTGCCAAATATCTTCACATACAGTTTGATCCTTACACCACAGCATGCTTTCCCATACGCAGCCTTGTGTGAGAAAGAAGACTGCAAGAAGCATCAGATTTGTGAACACACCAGCTCGGGAATCTCCAACTGTACGTGTGCTCCGGGCTTCTATGGCGACAAGTGTGAAGGTATTGTACACTCGGGCATCGGCTGTCTGCTCACTCCAGGCAGCTCGGGCAGGTAGAGAGCAGACTGGGGTATTTAAAGAGGAGCTGTGCTATCCCACAGGAATTTGGAGCTATGCCCTGGAAGAGGCTGCTGTGATGATGGATTATTGTAATTATCAAAACTGACACGGCCTCGCCCAGTTTACTACGGGAACCAGTCGCTTGATGTTGTGAATAATTGTTTTATAGCACATTTTATTAGTTTACCAACAAGAGGAAGTGCTTTGTCTAGACTTGAAAAGGCCTCTTTATGAGTCAAAGCTGGTCTTTGGTATTCAGGTCATTTCTTCAGACAGAGCTGTTGAAATATGCATGCTTCCACACCGCTACTTGCCTCTCTGGAAGTTGGCCATTGCACCACACTATAGTTTCAAGCCCAGCTGCTGCTTGCATAACCATAGGGCAATTTGAACACAAAATATGTAAAACGCTATCATCCTCAGCTAATGCTTCATGCCTTCCTTTCATAAATGCATATTAAGTCATTTCACATTATGTTTAATGTCTGTATCATATTATATTTGTTTTAGGAAATAATTCTTGAACCATTTAAAGCTAATTCAGGCTCCCATGAGAGGTTAGTGTCACCCTCCGATAGCAGTTGTTGCAAGGCTTTTTTTCTTTTTCCCCACCTAAAAGCCCTTTAATAGTATTTGAGCTATTGCAAATGCATGCTACCTCTCACCCTTGAGCTGAAATAACTATCAGTGCTTATATAGGCTCTCTTAAATCTCCCAAATACTTTCCTGCCTGGCTCACTTGGAAGGCACAGTGGAAAAAGGAGCATGATCCTCCAAGGAAGAGAAAGTAGTGGGACTCAGAAGTGCCTAATCAGGCCTCTCAGATCAAAGGGCCCGGGCCCGCACAGGTGGCCAATGAAAGTGTCTCTCGCAAATTAACAATCCATTAATTGCCCTCAGGGCCATACATTCTGGTCGCAAAATATGCTCCATATCATCAGAAAAATAATACCCTCCACCGAGCTCCCGGGACTTCAAAGGGGAGCCACTTAGCTGCGATACGGCCACGTTCTTTGATCCACTGCCGCAATTAGGAGGGAGAGGAAAATAAAAACATTCTTACAATTTGTACGGAGCGGATGTGCAGCGTGCTGACTGGTAATCCTCTGGTCCTGTGAACTTTGTTGGAAAAGATTGGGAAAGAGAAATGACAGCGAATCAATACATAGTTTACAGTATAGCAGATGAAAGACGCCCGGCATATGGTACACATGTTGACCATTTGTACCTCTGCCTATGTTTACACTTAGGCCAGTACTGAAAACTTAACATAATGTAACTACTTGCTTTCAAGCAGCTCGAGCAAACTTTCCAGCTTTGAGCCTCTCTCTCTCACACACACATGCACTCTCTCTCTTCCTGTGTCTGCAGAGGAATGTCTTTGCCAGAATGGGGGTGTCTGTGTGGACAGCAATGGGACTTGTGAATGCCCTTCAGGCTACACAGGACTCTACTGTCAGTTTGGTGGGTATCATACGTATAATCCTATCAGGTGTCTCACAAGAGCTTTGTGGGTGAATGTGGAAAAAAAAGGATCATAAATGTCTCAAACACAAAGCCATTATTCTAAAATCTGTGAACCTGTCTTCCACAAACCCCTTTCTCTCAGAAGTAACTCAGACGCCGTGCAGTAACAGCAGGCCGTGTCCTGATGGAGGTCCCTGTTTGGAGTACGGAGGGACCTACCTGTGTACATGTCAGACTAGTGGAGCGGAGCTAGATCATAAGGACTTCTACCCCTATGGTAAGAGCCTCAGGCACCAACCCAGCAACACGTCACTTTGCAGCTATGTGTCATTGCATGAGCAGCTGGTTTCTATAGTGACAAACACATTTTGAAACACACTGCTCTTTGACAATTGTCACTTTCTATTTCAAAAGGAATGGCCACATTTGCAGTTTACATTTACGACATGGAGAGACATTTCAAAATGATTTATGCTGTTGTTGAATGCTCGTGGGAGATTTTGTGTTCGATCCAATCATAAAATGACAAAATAATGTGTTTTTTAAAGGTTGGACCCAGCCTGCATGCTTGAATAATATTAAAGCGGTTTTACTGTTTCCCAGTGCAATGGAACACAGTCAAGTATCGGTGTGTGTTTTTCAGTACAGCCCCGATCGGTCTGCGACTCCTCTCCGTGTCTGAATGGGGGCTACTGCTACGAGCGGGATGGAGGCTACACCTGCGAATGCAAATACGGATACTGGGGGAAGCACTGTGAAAAAGGTAGCATAATTGATAAAAACACTATACGAACACTTATACTTAACACAACTTCCTTTAAACCTGTGCGTTATTGCTCAAATCCAGCTTTTAATGCACCAGGAAACATGCCATTACTCGTAATGCTGCTTGAAATATTGCAATGCTGAAAGGCTTATGATAATTTGTATTTATGACTGAGTTACAGGCTATTTTCCTGAATTATGACTTGAAGTGCAATGTACTGGAACAGATTTATTTTGTGTGACTAGAGCGGTCTCTACTTCAAGGATTCCCTTCTCCCGTTCTCTTTCCAGTTAGACTCAATACCTGTGCTTCTGGTCCCTGCCGCAATGGAGGCTCCTGTAAGGAAGAGGCAGGGAGCTACAGATGTGTGTGTCCTTACAGATTCACTGGAAAACACTGTGAAGTGGGTAAGTGCCGCCCTCAAGCGATATTCTAAGTCTTTTTACACTCACCAACACATGCAGAAATGCACAGGAAGTAATCTAATTTCATTTCAATGCTCTGGTATAAATATGTGAAAGAGTAACATTATTGTAAAACTAAATGAGCAGATTCTACTTGTTGCTTAAAAAGTAGGAAGATAGAGACTGCAGTTAGTGTTTAACTGTGCAAATAATTAAGACCCACGTGAAAGATTAAGTATTGGTTTTTTTCCTGGGCTTCCTACAACAAAATTTACAGTTAAATTGCAGAACGGCTACACAGTCAGGACTTTGACTAATACGTTACCCCACTAGTCGTGACACTGTACTGGCTACCTTTATCTTTTAGAAATGATTTTACAGTCCTTTTACTTGTTTATAATACCTTTATTAACCTGGCACTTTCCTATATCAGAGACTGCCTTTGATTCATGTTCCAACAAGAACTCTCAGATCTTTCAAAGCCTTACTTTCAGAAGTTCTTATAGAAGTAGCGTTCTGTTTATGACCATAAACTGTGAAGTACCCTCCCCTTAGATCTGAGAGCAGCAAACTCTCCTGGTATCTTTAAAAATAAATCTTTTTAATGTGGCTTTTAATTTAGGGTAATTTGATTAATTGTAATCTTTGGTATTCATCTAATTTATATCATATTTCTCTGTTGTTGTTGTTGTTATTGGTATTGTTCTTCATTTTTGTTAATTTGTTCATTTTTTTCCCTAAGATTGTCTTTAATCCTGTCTTGTAAAGCACATTTGGCTGCATTATTATCAATAATAAGTATTTTCTTGCAGGGAAGCCAGACCCCTGTGCCTCCAGCCCCTGTCTGAATGGGGGGACATGTTTTCACTACATAGGAAAGTACAAATGTGAATGCACTGAGGCCTTCAGCGGCAGGCACTGTGAAATAAGCACGAGCTCAGCACAAACTTCCGCAGGTAAGCAGACTGTGTCTCACCACACGATAATGTCCAATTCTCACTCTGATGCTGAAATTTGTATGATGTTGAATAGATTAACAGACAGGGGATATCCTGAGCTGTGAAGTGTAGAGATACTGGCTGTCCATCTGAAGATAATCTTAGCTGTGTTGCTGTACTTGAGTCCCCACATTTACAGATATAGAACGGCTGCATATGCTATATAAAGTAAGACCTGAATAGACCTGATGATTCATGTCTACACACACTAACAGCATGCTGGAGGTAATTTTAGGAGAGCCTGGATGGAAAACACCTCTGTTGCCATTAGTCAGTCCTGGATGGGCTCTTTTAAGCTCCAGTGTTTGTGAGCTTGTGTTACTATGCAGCCACACTGACATTATTGATGTGTTTGTATTCAGAGCTGGGCTGTGGGCCGCCTCCGCAAGTGAAGCACGCTGAGGTCCAGTTCTCCTCGACAACGCCAGGCTCCATGGCTGTGTATATATGCCATTCAGGCTTCATGTCCGTGCCAAGAGCCACCCAGAGCATCTGTGGTATTCAGGGAGACTGGAGCCAACCACCCGTTTGTGAGGGTCCGTAACATACACTAACACATGGACAACGCAACAACACAAATCAGTTTATACGCTAAAATGTTTTAGGGTTGATGTTGGTTTAGACCGATTCCTTAATTTCCAATCATTACAGAGATCAATGAATGCCTATCGCAGCCTTGTCTTAATGGCGGTACATGTCGGAACCAGGTCGGATCCTACCAGTGTGAGTGTGGTGACGGCTTCAGTGGAAAGCGCTGTCAGACAGGTAAAGCCTGTTCAAAGTCTTCTAATATTGAATCCTAAAATGCAGTGCACCTGCACACATATGTTCTTCCTGTTTTATCTCTCTTCAGACATAAATGAGTGCCTGTCGGAACCCTGCAAGCACGGGGGGACGTGCGAAGACCAGCCTGGCTCCTACTTGTGTCATTGTCCACAAGGCCTCAAAGGCCAGAACTGTGAAATAGGTACAGTTTTTATGCAACCTGTTACATCACTTTTAAAGTTTATACATTTTGACCGGACAGCAATCAAATTCTACCTTAAATATCTGTGTGCAGAGCAGGACGGGTGTGAGTCCAACCCCTGTCTAAATGGAGGTGTGTGTCGGGGTTACAGACGGAATTATTTGTGTGTATGCAAAGACGGTTTCTTTGGGAACCAGTGCCAGATGTGTAAGTGATTTTGCACTGCCTCACAAGTCTGGTTTAAAAGCTGATCGCACAACTTGCTGTTGTGACATGAACCATATTGCGCTAACTGCTTGTGTTTGTCTCCCCCAAGTGGAGAACCCTTGTGTACTGCAACCTTGTGGAAACCGTGGCCTGTGCAGGAGCGACAGGAGAGGCAACTACAACTGTGTTTGCAAAACGGGACACACAGGCAAAGACTGTGAGAAAGGTCAGTAGAGTCACCCCAAATTGCATTGAGTCCAGCTCAATCAGCTTGTCATTTGTCACCCCTATACTCTGTAGCTCATCCTCTGTATTGCAAAGACCACTCTGTAATTATTTAATGTATGGATTAGACATGTAAGGTTGCCACTGTTCCCAGACCTGTTGCCTCCCTCTGGTCTCCATGTGCTTCGCGTGGAGGAGAACGAGGTGGAGCTGCGCTGGGACGAGCCGGAGCCCTCGCAGAGCCTGATCAGCGGGTTTGTTGTCACTTATGGTCCTCTGGGCCGGAGCAATCGCAAATCAGACGTCCTAGACAGGCAGAAGTCCACCCACGTCATGCGAGGCCTGGTGCCCGGCCTCCTTTACAACATCTCCACTTTCTCCACCAAACGCAACACCAACAGCAACGACATCAGCCAGCCTGCCACTGCACTGATACGCACCAGTGAGTACACTCCTTATTGTTAAAGAAAGGGCTTCTGGAAAATGTTTCTCTCGTGAGTTTGAATGCATTATTGCGTGAATGTCCATGTGTAAGTGTGTGTGTTTCTGTGCTAGGACCTCGGCGGGTGGAGCAGCTGCAGGTGGTCAATGTGTCTTACTCTCAGGTGTGGCTGAGCTGGCTGGTTCAGGCAGCTCGTCATGCAGCGGTCAACAGGGTGCACGTGTCTCTGTTGTCTTCAGATGGGAGTGACGCTCGCACTGCTGTGCTCAACACGAGCACCACGGAGCATACCTTCAGGTCAGGTTCTGCACTTTGCTACAGAAGAACACTGATAACCCAGAACTTCAATTTTTTGTGCAAACCTACAGCATCTTCTTTGTCCACTAAATGGTGCTGTTGAAGTTCTGCACTTTTAATAGCTCTGGGTAATATATCTTTCAACCACTAGAGGGCACTATTTCATCAACGTTTTGAGGCTTATGAGGAGGAGGCTTTGTTTGCTGTAGTGCAATGTTTTTGTGTGCCTCTTTCTGTTTCTCAGCTCATTACTCCCTGGTCAGATGTACACAGTGGATGTGTTGACTCAAAGTGGAATCAGACCAGACGAGTTTCCCTCCACCAGCCACTCAGCTGGACCACTGCAATTCTGGACAAGTAGGTTACCTATCATTATTCAGCAGTCAAGTGTGTATTAAATAACATGACTGCTGGACACCTGATTAGATGCTAGTGTGTAAGGATTTCAATTTCTCATTTTAAAATTACAACACACATCACCACAAAATCTATATATGAGATGTAAAGAATTAACTTATCATCACATTTCATTCATTAAAGAAATTAAATTAGCTTATCGTACGATGGTTTATTTAATAAACACAATTTACGTGTCAAGTAAAAAATTCATTTAACCATTTACTTCATGTCTTTTATTTAACCTTGTCACCTCGATAACATTTACAGTCTGTGAAGGCTAAATGTTAACACACTTGAATGTAGTTGTAAGCACACACATAGCAAGCTTGTAAGTGTTCATTTATACATTTATAAACAACTGTGAATATTCTACAAAGCCTTTATAATTAGTGTGTAAAGGGTTATTAAATGTTCTATAACAAGTATAAAGAAACATTAAGCAAAGAGCATATTCTGTTATTGAGGACATTTGGAATCCTGAACAATATTTCACCCCTAACCTGAGCAGAATCTGCTCAGTTAGAATCCAGCATGAGCTCAGTTTTTGTTAAAGGCTATCATCAAAATCAGTTTTATGTTTAATTTGTTAAGCTTATATCTGATATAGTGTTTTGACACATGGATGTGTGTGCTTTCCTTTAGTTTTGTCTTTTCTCTGTACAGTATGTAATGTAAGTATTTTCTCGTATACCCATGTGGGCGGCACACTTTTGTTTGTATGACACAAAAATATTAATTAATTTGTTAAGCATAAATGGTTCAAAGCTACAGTTGGTAGTGATATGCATGTAGCTCAATCGTAGTATCTAGTAAATCAACCAATCATTGGAAATTAAGTTAAACAATTAAAACTAATTAATATAACTAAACAAAGCAAAAAGAATATTTTTTATGCTATCCAATAAACAATCTGATCATCTACGTGTGTTTTTCCCCTCAGGGCCTCTTCCCCCACAGAACCTCTCCCTGTCACATGTGACCACAAGCTCAGCGCTGATCACCTGGAGCCGTCACCCGAGAAACGTCCCAGATGGCTTTGTGGTCAACGTGACCCGAGGGTTGAATACCAGGAGTCGCTTCCTGCCCAATGGGAAATTAGGATCGTATACCCTGCGTGAACTGACGCCAGGGCAGCACTACTATGTGGCTCTCACATCCGTCAAAAACACAGGGCAGGAACAGATCCACAGCATACCTCAACACTTAGCCTTCACTACCTGTGAGTGAAAAACATTTCAGTGTCTCTTGTGTTGACAGTGTTGATGCCATGCCCAGCTATTTAGCTAAAGTAAACACTGAGCAAGTATGAATAGAATTGTTGGGATGCAGCATTTATCAAATTACAAATATTATTTTTAAAACACATTCTGAATACATTTCCTTTGACGCAGTGCCAATGGAGGCGAGATCAGGGAGAAGAGAGAGGCCTATCACGACTGGACAGGGGACTCAGGTTGGACGCACAGTTCCCCCGTCTCAGCCTCAGGTCTTGGGAGGTGCAACAGAAACAGAGAACTCAGAGGAACTGCCCAGGTACACCTAGAATGTTGATGATTATGAAAACAGTAATGAAAAAAGTTTGGTTCCATCTGGCTATTCAGCTGCAAATGCGAAACAATTCCCCTTTTTTTCTATGTTTCAGATACACAGAACTCATTGACAGAAGGGGAAAGATAACAGCAAAGTTCACTCACTTGCCTCGAAAAGGCATTCGACATCGTACTAGTAAGTAAGAAACCATGTGATAAACATTTAGTGGAGAGTCACAACTATAACACAATTTCTGTAAAACATTTAATCTATTATACACAGTATTTCACACAGAAGATAATGCTATCATGGTAATAAATGACCTAACTATCCAGATTCTCCTTCTAAAGCCAGATTAATTCAGCAGGTTACCATTGCATGTCTCTGACATCTATTAAACTATCATACTACACCAACATATTGAAATGGTTCTGATTTGCTCAGGATGTCCAAACATTGAAAGAGTAATCTTATTTGCTTATCTTGATGCAGATGGAATAACTTAGTCCATGGTCCTATAACCATATGGTCCTAACCATGGCCTGTCTGGATGAAGTATAGCTGGTCCTCTAATGTTAACTGGACTCTCTGCTATCACACAAACAGACCCACGTTATCTGACACACGTTGTTCACCTTTAATAAAGCGAGACAAGTCAGAAATCTTTCGGGAATAAACTTTTTTCATTTTCACATGGTCATTTTTTCTAATGTATTTTCACTTTTTTTTTACTTAATGCATCCCAGTGCAGAGGTTTATAGCCTATGCCCTAAACAGAAAAAAATGTTTTACAGATGTTATCTACTGCTCTAGAGAATAAGCTTCCTTTCTAGGATTGTTCTGTCTTTCTTAATGATGTTACGCCCATGATGTCATAATGTGATTTTGACCATTTTGTCAAATCAGTCATGTACTGTTCCAGGCTTAGGAATGTACACAAAATCCTTTAAAGTGTCTAATTTAGTACAACGTCTACTTTTCGGCGGAGTCGCCCTGCAGTCTGTCATTCATTGTCTTTTTACACCGATTCATGACGGGAAATGTTTTTGCCTTGCAGAACCTGACCCACCAATTAGATTAGAAAAGATGGAAGAAACAACAAACAAAATCAGCCTTGCATTAGAGATTCAAGAAGAAGGTTTAAGACCAAAGCCTGGTAGGTGTTTTGCTGTTTGCTCCAATAGGTGGCACATCTGCCCTTGTAATTGATCCCAGCTTGTGTGCTGCACATACACAAGATTAATGTCCTGTTGAAGAAGTTGTAATTTATCATTGATGTTATGTGTGTTTGCCAAGTGCCGTGATTGAAAAGTCAATGAGGATGCTAACCTTGAAAGACAAAGATGTAACATTCAGGACAGCAGATTGGTAAAGAAAAAGGGGAAGTGATGTAAGGGCTAGAGGCTATCAACGAATGGTATCAGCTGTAGATAATGTGGAGTAGTGGGTCTGGAACCTGACACCCAAACTCATTCTGTGCTGTGGATGTTGATGGCAGCTGTTGTCCTTTAGAGTTGCCACAGGACTGTCGCAGTCTGCCTTGCCAGAACGGGGGTACATGTGTGAACGGAGGCGACGCCTTCGCCTGCGACTGCGCGGCAGGGTTCAAGGGCAGACAGTGTGAACTGTGTAAGTTTATGTGCTTCCCCTCCACACATACACATACACACGGGGTGGGTTCGGTGAAAGTAGGCTGCTTTCTGGCAAATGAGAAAATGTTCTGGATAGTCATATAAACACTTGGTTTTCTTTAGGGAGATTGACTTTTGTCTTAAACTCTAATCAGTGAAGTCAGTGTAAATCCATCCATTCATTATCTATATCTGATTATCCTCTGCAGGGGCACAGGGGGCTTGAGCCTGGCCCATCTGGCATTAGGCGAGAGGCAGGGTACACACGTTAATGTTTGAAAAAAAATAATGCCTAAAGTCAATAAATATCTTAACTAAACTCAAAGGTCCAGTGTGTAACATATGTTCTCATTAGTGTATAATCACCTGGAAATAAGAATTGTTACCTTAGAATGAATTGTTGTGTCTACAGACGCTGTAGGTCTTCTTCCATAGAGGCAGCCATGTTAAACTGCACTAGATAGAGGCGTTTGTGTTCTTTGCGCATATTGTGGCCACCATAGTTTCTCCTACACACTTGGAAGGGGAGGATGAAGCGATGGAGATGAATAGTTCAAGTATAACGTTGACCACATTCACACCTGCTCAGGCTGATGGGACTTTCATTAGTCATTAGTTTCATTTTGACCTGATGATGGAGTTAGACAAAGAGTTAGAGCATCACCAAAGTGCTGAGGGGGACTGAATGTCTGAACCTGATTTCATGGCAGTCTAAAAAAGTCCAACAAAATGCCCGTCAGCTGGATTGGAAACTATATATAATTGTAATAGGATCAAGTTCCCTGTCACCCTGATCAGGATAAATAGTGTTGAAATTAGATGGATAATAATATATAATGCTGTTCCAAGTGAAAACAGTACAACCTCTTTTTATTTTTCACCTAAAGGCATTCAATTCAACATTAAATTGAGTGGTAGCATTCATGCTAACTCAAATAGGTGTATACCTGCCTCTGGTGAAAGATCTCCGCTCACCAGCTGTCTGAATGTCACGAGTGTCAGTGCAGGATTTACAGTCCTGTCCATGTATTCCCATAGGTTGTAATTCTGCTTCCTATCAGTGTAACTATAGCATCTCATGGTGTGAACTTACAGTAGAATCTATGTTAGATTTTCATTTAATCATGTAAACTGACAGAGAGCACTGAGCTATGTATAGGCCTCTGGTTCCTTAAAAGCAGGAAACACGCTCCGCTGACAGTTGACCCCTCTGACATATATGAATGGCTGGGTTAACTTTAAGGCTTAGGGGCATGAATGTACAACATGAATAAAGTGTCAACAAAGGCACAAAGCACCATATTATTTGCACTGCACCACTTTCCTCCCTTTTTTCAGGGAGCCGGTGTTAGATTTATAATTCAGCAGTCTGCGGAGAGTTGTGGGGGGGATTATAAAGCTGCAGTATATTATCAGTGGACAATATCCTTCTTTGTTCTAGTTTTACTCTTATCTTTAATATTTACGCTGTGTTTACCTTGTATTAAATGTATCTGTGACAGACCATAAATGGGAAACTGCCAGCTGCCTGGAGAAAAAGTCTTTTAGCCATTACCACTGCTACTTTATATGGATGACAGCCAGTAGGAATGCATTATCTACAGTGAATGCCTACAGTTAATGATCATGGAAACATGTGTTTACATTTATCAAAGTGGTTGATTATATGCTGCCAATATCAATGCATAGGTACAATTCTAACTTTAGGGGCATGAATAAAATGTAATGTCTTGTTCTTACTTTGTATTTATAGATAATTATTCAAGTCATTGGTATCTCCTTTATGAAAAGCAATAAACTGCTTGAATCAATGAAAATGAATTCAAACATCAACAGGACATCCAGAACCTGCTTACTATACCAAGAGTTTTTACCAACAATATTACACTTGTCTCTCAAGGAATTCAGATATTTTAACACAAAAAATACCTTTAAGACAACACAACAAATAATAATTATATAAAAACTTAATGTCCTTAAGCTTACATGTATATATAGTCGATCATTCTGCAATAATTATGAAATATCAGTGGACTGGAGATATTTATGAGATGTAAATGAGTATCTATAGATTGCTTTTAGTAGTTTAAGTCAGAGCAAACATCTAGAATTATGCACAATTTTAAATCATCGTAACATTACTTTTCACCACAAGCCTTTTTAAAAATCACTTTAAATTCAGTTGAAAATACAGTCAAATAAATAAAATATCTGTGTGAATTCACTCATAATTAGACGTTGATGAAGATGTGTATGAGACAGTGGACATCCCCTCGCCCCTCTTGAGCCCTTTTCTTCACCTAAACATCCAGCGTCAGATTGTTTAAACATTCCTTTCCTAAAACCATCCATCAGCCGCAGAGCAGGGCCCAGCTCCATCCCACATGACTCTTAAACCATCCAGCAGACTTTTTTCCTCGCTCACAATACTTCAAACATTCATACCTTATGTCGTGTGACCGCTGTTTGCAGTGTGCCAGCGAGTGCCGCACCCCTGCACCCGTCTCTACTCTGAAACCAAGAGTGTGCCCGTCTGGGAGGGTGGAGTGTGCCACTACCTGTAAGTCGTCATCAGGCACGGATCTCCTGTTCTGGCCTTGCATGCTTATACTCGTTTAAACGACTAAACATATTAGAGAGGTTTGTAACTAAAGGATCAAATCCATGAGTGTTGATTTGTTCTTCGCAGGTACAAAAGGACATATAAAGTACAACAGGATGTTTGTTATCGAGAGATTTGTGAACCGGTGCTTCCCAAGAAAAGTCAGAGTGAGTTGAAAAAGCTGTCTATACAGTGTTGATATTGTTGCAAATACATCAATGCAATTCTTTTCACACACTTATATTAACTTTCTTAACAGTCAGAAGAACAAACCGACAAGAATAAAGGTTTGTTTCTTTAGCACAATCAAAATTATGATATTTATATAATATGTTTTGGGGATGAAATGTTTCCACCGAACATGTATATGCACTGCTACTGTAGAGGATCACAAGATTTTCAACAATTATACTAAAAATGAGTCTTTTCTTCTTTTTTCTAGAGCACTTGGATACTGATGAAAGGACTGTCATCACTGTCATGTGAAAAACCTAACTTCAATTTTGGTGTTTATAATCTACTTGAAGTAACTGATTATGGTCATGTTTGTGCTGAGAAACCCTGTCAGAACCCACTGTAACGTTTTAGAAGCAGACCATTGTTCATCTGAAAATAAGGTTGTATTTGTTCTTTCCTGAGAGCTGTGTCTGTAGCTCCATGCTTCGTAAGAGGACTTCAATCAATCAAATGAAAAATGGCCCAAATCATTTATCATTTGTGACGTTAGATGACTGATTTTTCAAACAAAACGTATGCAAATATTAATGGTAAGCAGTCCTCTGTACTGCATCAGAGACCTTATATACCTCATTTCCATGTCCATGCTGACACATTATGAGAGGTTTTTATTATTTGTGATTCAGCTGCAGGTTTGTCCCTCAGGGAAATAACTGTAGAGTGTTCCCAGTCCCAATCTTTCCCTTATACCAGCCCTGTGATCTCCTTATAAAGACGATGGGAAATGTATGTTTTCTCCACACCCCATAAATCCATCTCTTCCTCTGACAATGATGCACAGTATTCTCTGTGTATAAATATCTTTCTCCATGTCTTAGCTGGCATCACTGCTTGCAATTCTGTAAATAGTGTTTATAGGCCATTTTGTAGGTGACTATTTTAATAATAAAAATGTTAAAATGGTTTGTGTTTCTGGTGTCTTTTTGGGTTGATATTTGCATCCTGGGTGACATTTTAAAAAGTATAAAAGTAAGGAGGACTCCACAGTATACATACATGTATTATTAAAGCTGCATGATACGGTAAAAAAATATCTAATTGCGATTATTGCCACTAGATATATTTAATCACTCATATTGTCAATTATTCAAGAAGCCAGTCAGTTTAAAAATTGCAAAAACCACCTGATTGGAGTTATTTTAACAATAGTTTATCAAGAAGAGGCAAGCAACACCAAAACTAGTTGTAGATTTCCTACATTACTGTCTGTAATACATAAATGTAAACTGCTTGTAACTAGTGTCTGTGCCTGCTTTACGTCATATTGTCGGGTAACTGTAGAACACGGTGGCCAGCACAGACTGGCAAAAAATAAAGACTCTAAAGCCTAGCTCTAACTTTTAAGTGAGGCAGATAGAGACATGCCTCATAGTAGAAAACACAGTGTCTCTGTTCTTGAACATCAGCGACTCCACCCAAGTAACTATGGATTTCTAGAAAATCCCCTTAGGAAAAAAATACAGTTCTGTCAAAACCAGCACTAACAGAAATAACAAATGATGCTTTCATACAAAGCAGGCGGGGGTCACTGAGCGGCTCGATGAGTGTGACAATAATATGCCATGGCCTTCACATTGACATCTCAACCTAGTTGAACATCTACGGATACTTTGGAGCTCTCTCCACAACCCAAAACACTAAACTGGAAACTACAAACTTTGGAAGAATAGTGTTTATGCCTCCAGGAGCTCTCAAGCTATTCTGGAGGCTCAAAACCTTTCTAAGACACGTGTGTATTCTACATAGTGTATATATTGTGCCAAACCTCCATAGTCAATACAATAGGCCTGTATGCAGCTCCTGTACTACTCACAGTGCAGCTGTGCAGCCTAACTACTGTAAAACCAACTAAATGTATCATGCTGTTGCAAATACAAAATGATGCCCTGTTGGCCTGGTACTTGTCTTATTTCCATTCTTCCTTTGGCCAGTAACAGCAACAAGTGGGTGAAAAAAAGTTGACTTGCGAAAAAGGCGATGTTTCACCCAAGATAAAAAGGACAGGGCAGTTGCCTCCCACCGTTCACTGAAGACCATGATTAAAGACCACTGACCTGACCCATGAAACCAACACAAACTAAAAGCATGCAGAATGCACTTCATGTAGTTTTGACTTTTAATTTCAAAGCTGATGTCTTACTACTAGTACTGCTGGCCTCGGTGAGAATGTGCTCCTCTTCTTGTAAAAAGCGGGCTCCTCATTATTTAACAGTATTTGCAGTTTGGCATGTTTAGGATAATCATCCCACTTGTTCTCCAGACGTGCGGTTTTCCTGCTGCCTTCATCGAAACTCGGAATGTCACGTTTTACGTACATTTCCTACTGCCCATTGAAGAGCGTTTGGTCTTAGAAGGCTTACCCGTGTATTGGAAATAATTTGATAGCTCATTCGCACTGGAATCACGTCTATTGTATTAAATGCATGGACTTTATTTAAAGTGTAGGATTAAATAGGATACTATTGCTGATGTGCATTAGTTAGTGACTACTAAGGACAAAGGACTAAGTACGTACTTAAAGATAAGATAAAAAGCGAACATAATTACACAATGGCAGCAATTATAGATACAGATTTCGCAAATGTTTTGCTTCGGTGCTTCCTTAATGTGATACAATTAAACAGGTTATATCCTCGTTTTTTTTTGGTTAACGCTCAGTTTGAAAGTGATTTCCGAAAGCCCCTGAAGGCAGCATTCCCCTCCCGCAGTCAGAGCAGTGAGGGCCCCCTCCGCCCCCCTCCTCCTCCTGCTCCCAGTGAAAACTGAGATAGTGAGGAAAAAGCAACGGGAGGAAAGACCATGGAGGGAGGAAGCTGGATGTATTAGCTAGTTTACTGCTTGAGGGAACTTTTTTTCCTTCTTTCGTTTTCGCCCGCACAGATTAAAGTGGCTCAATGTGGCGATATCCGGTGTGTATTTTAAGTGCTGGGGAAACGTCGTAAATATCCAAACATTCCCCGACAGTGTGACCGCGGACGGTTAGCACAACCCGACGAAAGTTAGCCTGCTCCGGCTAACTTAGCTTGGCTCGGCTAGCGAGGAAGGACAAAAAAAGGCAGGCTAGTGGAACAAGAGTTAGGGCTGAAAGTGGCGCTGCGGCGTAAAGTAACTAGTAATGTTGCCTCTCGGGATTAACTTCAGATACGGATGAGAAAGAAATTGGCGACTGGGGAACACCGAGAACAACTGCGAGCCAGACGACCACTGCTATGTTGGGGTTGATTCACGGCTCTGGCAGCCCGCCTGAGTCCCGAGGTTGGCCACACTCGGTGCTGTGGAGGCTTGGGGGCTTCTTCTTCCTCCTGCTGCTGGAAGGGGCCGGCTGCCTCGCCAACCCGAGCAGCACTTCAGGCGTCAACAACAACAACAACAACAACAACAGCCCGAGCGTCAACATTTACATGAGTGTGGAGGAGGTGAAGAAGCTTTTGGGTAAGAAGGCCTGCATGTAAAGTCTTCCAACTTTTGTTATCAGTGTATCTCTTATCTGTGTCTGTGTCTCTCCTGTGTGTGTGTGGTGTGTGTGTGTGTAAAGAGTGTGTGTGTGTGTGTTATGATGCAGTTGTGCCAGTGTGTCCCTCACATCTGTAGGTCTCCTTCTGAAACTGTACTGAACTCCAGACAAGCATAACAGCTCTTATTGTGTTAAAAGAGCAGCCACAGTGCTCACATACAGTACGGACCTATAGTAATTTGGCTCCCTGGCCCACAGATGAGCATTACATTTTGAGCCCATGAGTTCACTGTAATACACAACATGGACTACATCTGCTGCACACATTATTACTTTAATCATTTGATGTGCTAACTGTGTGTTGGGCCAACGGTAACATCAAACTAAGTTGGGAAAAAAAGGAGTTATGATTACATAAGAGAAGAAAACAACGTTACTTATTCATTTAAAGGCCTCATTCTGTCTATGTGCATTATAAATGATTTGTCGTGATATGTCCGCTGTGCCATGACAAAAATAGTAAACCTGCTGGGTGGTAATTGATTATTACGAGCTGTGCTGTGGATAGTAGCATGAGCATATCGATGAAGATGCACCGCTTCACAAAACCTGTACGCATCATGTGTGGATCTTTTTAACGTAAATCAGTGCAACTGTTAAGAAAACAGACTTGAATCAGCTCCACAGCCGCAGTGTGTTTGGACCTCGGGCTGCATCGAGAAAGGTATGCTGTCACTAGGAATCGTAGAGAGAAGGAAGAGACTGAACCATACGTTCAAAAACCACAACCAGAGTGTGACATTTGTGGTTAGTGTCAGTGGTAGGTTATATGAACTGCTGTTGGAGCCCATCATGCAGCTGCAGAAGATGGATACAACTGTGTCCGACCAGATTTGAGCCAAGGGCACTATGGCATTGTGTAACTGCCTTGGCCATATTGAGGCTTCAGCATTTGAGCTCTACTGTACACAGATATTATAAAAGAGACAGAACTGTGCTGGTTTTACTTCGCTGTTTGGCTGTGAACGGACTAACATCCTGTGTCCTGGTGCCACGGTCGAGCCAGTCTTTAGATAAAGTTGTTAATTTCGGGTTTACTGAAGATGTCTGGAGGGTGCCGTTTGGAAACTAGTCATTTACCACGTGAGTGCCTCTGTACAGTCTAATGAATGGGTAGAAGTGCTAGTGCGTAAGGTCTTTGTGGAGGGAGAAAGCTGATGGTGCAGCTTCTCAAGCGGACTGATGTGCTGCTGTAAATCTATGTATCAGCATTCTTTTAGTAGGACTTTCAGTACGACTGTCCATTTATGTGGGAGAAAGCATTAAAGTGCGTTTTTGAACAGGAAGTTGTGCTGGCGAACCTCTTAATGCTGTATAGGCAAATTCATGGCAGATTTAGCAGATCTTGTGACGCTTTCAAATATGTAAACAGTTTTCTAATAAGAGCATTTAACTATCACTCATTGTGCTTAAAAAAACACGTCCACTCCTTTCCTCCCCTCTATAATCTGACTGGTGTTAGAGCGTAGGCTGCTCGTGTCCCTTTTGGTTCTTCTCGTTCTCCATCACGCTAGAGTTAATCTTCAGTTGCCAGACGAGGGCCTCTCTTGTGGTTTGCTTAAAAACCTTGTCTGGTCGTATGGAGAAATCTCTTAATGTTTGACAACTATGTGTGGGAAGCTAAAAAGTATGTGTGGACAGAAACTTCCATGATGCAGTGGCAACTGTAGGAAAAACCATGTTGGAAGGAGGTTAAACTGGCATCACTTTGGTGATAGGCCGCTGCTGGGGAGTCTCACTGCACATTCATGTATACGTCCAAAGTTTGCAGTTGTTTTTAAGAAAGCTGGTGCAGCACAGGTCAATAAATGAAAATACATGAATTACATTGTGCCCAGCTGCTTCCAGTCCTGATGCACACATGCTGTAACATACATGCGTACAACGAACTGTTGACAAAAAAGAAATATAATCTCCTAAAATTGTTTATTGTTTGCTTTAAACCTCAAAGAGCTTGTGTCTGTTGACGTTGGGAGTTTCTGCAGAGTCTTGTTTTAAAAATAGGAGTATCCGGAGCACCAGGCATGGCTGTCCGAGGGTAGGGACTGGATGACATTTTGATTTCGCTGCTGAGACATTATATTATCCAAATACTGCCCAGTACAATATTCAAATTGCAGAAGCTGCTATTATTTGTTAAATAATATACTATAATGTTAAGCATTATCATGAAGTACTGTAGTGCTGCAGAGATGGCCTGGCCGACAAATCTTGACATGTGTCAAACGTGTGTTTGGTACAAACCCCAACAACTGTCACATCGTGATTTTCACAGCTTTTTCAGTGAAAATTAAATTTGTGATTCAAAAATGATCATTGCCACACTAATCATTAATTATATTGCAATCGTAATCTCTGTCAAAATTACTAATTTGTTTTTACCATATTGTGCAGTCCTAATAATTGGCATATTGGTTTGGACCAGAATAAATGGTGCCATGTGCTAGAAGTCTCAATGACGTCTCATATATTTTGAGTTGTCATAGCAGCAAAGGCACTGGTGTAATTAATAACATTAATGATGAATATCCCAGTAAGCCATCCACTGAGCCAACATGCACAATAGCACTTTTTCACAGAAGACACTTTGTCTTGTCCACAGTAGGAAAAGCACAGATGTAAATAATAAAATGAAGGATGGCTGAACTCCATGTAGCTGCTTCACTTTCAGGGTCCCAGTATTATTTGTGCTGACTCACTGTCGCACTGTCATGGCAGAGCCATCGTTAATGTTATTAGTAACACCTGTGCTTTTCCTACTAAGACAATTGACATGTCTGCCTTTTAGTAATGTACAGGAAGGGCTGAACGATTCATCGTGTTTAGATTAAAATGTTGAATTGATAGTCACAAGAACAACATTTGTAATTAGGCAATAACACAAATGTAATAGCAGTGTCTTAACAAGCTGTAAGAAGTGAGAGAGTTTATTTGTTGGCTGCTTCTTTCACAGGCAAATTTAGTCTGATGTAACCAATGAATGGTCATTTCTGCTGTTGACCAAACTACAAAATAACATTCTTGCTGCCTGGCAAAGATGCTCTCAGCGTGCTGGTTTCTGTGCATTTTTTTCTTTTGTTTAGAAATAAACAGCCCTACATATCATTATGCTGTTTGAAAAGATGGAGTGGACTGTGTCTTTCTCTTTTTGCTTCTAGAAGTCTTTCTCTAGTTAAACGATCAAGCCGATCAGCTCACATTGCTCCGGACTGCTAACGAGCTACCTACCCGCTCAACTTTAGTGCACAAAATCTTTGTTTTGAGCTAATCATCATCTTTTTTAAAATCTATATTTTTGGGGGGCTTTTTTGCCTTTGCCTCAGACGCCCGCTCTACCAGGTGAGCTACAAGGGTTAAGGTTAAAGATGATTCTCTTTAAAGCTCTGAATAATGACCCACAGGATTTGGGACTGTAAAGCACTTCATCCAGTTAGTCTGAAGTTACCGTGAGTTCAAGCAGCCACTCTGCAGTTACATTCTCAGACATGAATAACCAGAAGTTTGCCATTATTCCCTTAAATGGTATACTCAAGTTTACCACAACTGTGATGTCATACTGCTATATACTATGGACACGTATCTTGTTTAATGCTTTGCAGACCACAAATGCAGGACAGGAGTTTAATTTATAGCCAAGAAACGCCATATCAGTCAGGGAGACTGCAGTCAGACAATAGTGTGTCATTGATTACCTGTACACACAGGTCACTGGGGCCAAGGCCTGAGCATTCCTCCTTAATGTTTAACCCTTTAAAATCCTCACTGCTTTTTGAAGTTTCTTGAAATTCATTGGCTCCACAGGATTTCTATTCATTGCAAATGTTCATAATGAAGTAATAAAAGTGTATTTGGCAATAAAGCTTAGAGGCATTATTGTGAGAGGGGGAAGTGACATCACCAAGTAATGTAGTCTTGCTGGGGTCTCTCTGCTTTTTAAGGATTTCATTTGGATAACTTGAACAAACAACCTGACTCTCAAGGGGTGGTTGAGGAACAGGAAAACGTCATGCCTGAATTGAAACAGGGTTTTGCATCCACGGCATGTTTGTCCGTGGATGAACTGCAGGCAGCATCCCTGATTGTTTTTGCACATGACTAATGGGTAGTGAACTGTCTGTCTCAACAACGCTACTCTCCACATGCATATCCCATATCAGCTGTGTCTCAGGACCTGTATCCTGGGTTTGAATTGTGTTCCAGTTAAAACATGGCAAGTTACAGGACCCACAGGAGAGGAACTGCTTTCGATTTGGGTCAGAAGCGGACCAGACCATCTTTTTTAGATGTGAAGCCACCTCGTTGATCTGGTGATTCATTGTGTACAGTTTAAGATTTCTGGAATGTAGTGAAGGTCGATAAAGGTTCAAGCTGAAATTTAGCGAATCATTTTTAAGTAATTACATATGAGTAGGAATATAGTCCTGAGGATTCATGAAACAGACGTACAATCAATTTTGATGAAGTATGACTTACAAAGAAAATCAGGTATAGATACTTATTTATAAGACCTTACTTTGACGTGGAAATGATTTGATCTCTTGAAAAATGACTTAAATGAAAAAATTGTTGCAGATGAATTTTCTGTCAATCAACTAATCAATTAATTGACTAGCTGTTTAAGTTCCAGTTTGCTGTGAAGGTTTCAAAATAACCAGAGAATCTTTTCCTTTAAATGTTGTTCAGAAATGTATTACTGTTGCAAGAGAGACACTGCAGCACACTGCTCACTGACACCAGGCCAGTCTGCATTCATAAGGCCCATGACCAAGCTATGACATTGGTTTTACACGCTCCAATAGCTTTATTTCTTGCCCTGTTTCCTGGCCATCCATGTGATAATTTAGATGAGGGATGAAGTAAAAAAAAAGTTTTCTGTACATTCATGTGCTGTCTCCTATAATAATGACTTTTTTGAGCC